AAAATAAAATACAATTAATATCAATCAGTTAGTGTGTCAATTTTGACTGAAACGTTTACGTCTCTGCCTTGAGAGTGGCCATGCTGCCGTTGTACAGCTCCATGAATAAACCCCTGGTAAACCCCAACAGTCACATGGTCTGGTTTTCTCTTTTCAGAAATGGCCGAGCGTCACGACGTCCCCCAGATGTTGGCCATGGCCCAGGACCTGGTCCACAAAGTCCAGACTCTGATAGAAAACAAGTGACGTGTGGAGGAAGAGCTAACCTACCAGTGACTGGAGAGTGATGTAAAAAAACAACAAAAACAAACAAAAAAACAACAACAACTCTGTGTTCTCATTATCATCTGAGATACAAGAAAAAAAAACACACAACTGTCTGCACTTGCTCCTCAAACTGCAAGTGTCGCCTGTACATTTGATTTTCGTTGTGTTATCGTTGAACTGAATGTGAACGCGCAACTTGTTGAAAACGCTTCAGGATATATATATATACATATATATATATACAGATATATATTTGTACATGTATGTATATGTATATACATATACGTACATATATGTACATATATTTGCACATATATGTATAAATATATGTGTATATATTTATACATATATGTATTTATGTGTGTATATATGTGTATGTTTATACATATACAGTATATTTGTACATGTATATGTATATACAGATATACACATATATGTATAAATATATATATACATATATATTTTTTAATTTTGCCTTAAATTTAAACTCTTATCATTTCAGGGATAAAATGACCAAATGTTTTAACTTTTTTTTTAAATTATTATTTTCACTTTCACACATGAAGATATATTTTCAGCAATCGTATGTGGTGATGATTTGACGACCTGGCTGTTGTGTACTGTGGTGTGCAGTACACTACAGTACAGTGGGTCTGTTACACAGCCGTTCTGAGGAGGTCTTGCTGCCGCCCCCCCTCCCCCCGTTTGCCTTGAATGCACATAAGCCAGCAGGACATCGTGAGTGAAACTGAACTCTGAGCAGTTCTGACTACATTGCACATACTTTGCATACACAGTATCACCATTCCCACTTTAATGCTGCTCGCTCATTCTAAATTGGTCCTATCCATAGCGCCACCTATAATTTCCTGGACCACTTCCATCCCATCTTATTTCCCACTGATGCAGTTCGTGGTTATTGCAGACGTTCGGTGCCATTTTAATTTAGTTACTGTGCTTTAACGACACCACGGTAGGAGGAAACTCCCTGGTACTACGTTGTTGCACCATCACCACCTGGTGGTTGCTAAGTTTACACTGTGTGCAGTGACTGTCACAGATCCTGTTAGTTCAGTTCAGTCTTGACTTCTTCATTCTCCAAACACATTCTGGTGAAGTCACAATATTTATAGATTTTCTTTTCCCAGAACGCCACTACGTTTTTTTTTTACTGTCGCCTAAATCACCAACCTGCTGCGCTGTCACAGCTAACGTGTGTCACATGACCATCGACAACATGAGTATTGCTGTTTGTGTAATGTTGTGTTTGTTGTCATTAAGATTTACTGTAAACAACGTGTTTAAAAAAGAAAAAAACCTAATGTACAAAAAAAATCCAAGATGGTAAATATTAAATGCAATACAATGTCTGTACAGTATATATTGGCTTTATCGGAGTATATTGACAACAGAGGTAAATGTATGTCACTGAAAAAAATATATTTATTTATTTTTTCCTGTCTTTGAATCATCTGGTATAATTAATTTATTGTGAATTAAAAAAATATATTTTGCATCTCACGTGTCTTGTTGACATTTCTTTAAGTATTTGAGTTGATAATATTGTTGGTTATACGAACAAAAACTTGAAAATGATTGACTCAAACGTCAAATGTCCAATTAGAAACTGTAGACTAATTAATACGACTTCACTGAAGCTGTGAAACAAACTCTTAAAACCTCCAGAGACAGAACTAACCACCACCAACTCAACAATAGGACTGTGAGAATCTGGTGATAAGAAACGCATCAAGATACAGGGGCAACAATACGATATATTGTGATATATTGTGATACTATAGACACGCAATATATTGAGGTTTTGTTTTTTTTTTTACAAAACTGACACATTGTTGAACATCAGGTTACTGACATTGGAACAGTGGGATCTACATTTGGAATCATCAGAGAAGAAAGAACCCGGAACACCAGGAATATTGGACTGGGAATTGTACAAATAAAAAAATCAACATACTGCTTTAAAATATTGATATTGTGAATCAAAATATCGCGATTCGCCGCTGTATCGACATTTCCTGGGTTGTATATTTTTCTATAATAATTCCATCAGTTGGATAAAACACAAACAAAAACAGGATTGAAACACCGACATGTCTCTCTGTTCTAGAAATATGACTATTTATTTTTGTTATTTTGGAAATGTTGATTAACAGGTGATTAATTATTCATGATGAATCCAGAGCCTGTGACCCTGTGACTGATCAGACTTCTACCTAAATCGCACCAGGTTACCGTTCTTTACTCCTCTTTCAAGTCTGACAGAAAGACACAAAACGATCACAGTAAAAGTTTGCATTTTATTGGTAAAGAAAAAAAAAACTACTTTGTCTGAAGGTCACCTCAGTTTAAAGTTCACATATAATTTAAAAAAAAATAAAAAATCAAGAAAGACAAGTGAGGCTCAGAGTCAAGATGACACGAATCTTAAAAGACTCAAGAAGATGACAGGTTTGAAGTCATTCAATTCACATGTTCTTGGTTTGGCAAAAAAATAAAAATAAAAATAAAATTTAGTTTCAAAAAAAGATTCTGCACAACTGTCAATTTCAGCCAGATTTCCAACGTTACACAAACGGCTGATGGATTTATTTCTTCGTGAAGGATTAGAAGAAAAAAAAACCCAGTTACGTGAACAGATATATGGATGTTTAAAAACAGAAGACGGAGCGCGGGATTCATCGGGTCCTTACAGCGGAATGTGTGGAATAAGAACAGACGTTTCCTACTAAGAATCGGGATTTAAAAAAAAAAAATCACTGAGAAAAGAGAACATGGATAATTACAAAACCTCTCTTCCCTTCCTTTCTATCGATAATGGCGTGGGGGCGGGCTGTGCTGCGATGGGTGCCTCCTGGGAGGACTATGGCGTGACATGGGATGGCGTGGAGGAGACTGGTAGCGAGGAGGAGGAGGGGGAGATCCTCTGTTGTGGTAGGGGGGTGAATAACGGCCCCTGGATCTGGAGCGGGAACGTGAGCGCCCCCAGTTGGGAGTGCCCCTCTCCTCGAAGACACGGATGTAGGCGGTCTCTCCCTGAAAAAGGGATAGATAAAATATTTAAAAACACAAACAAAAACACAAAAGCCACAGGACGAATGAACAACATCACTTTCTGAACTCACTTGGTGCGAGCGGAACTCGGTCCGATCCAGTCTGCGTAAAGCGTACTCCATGTCCTCTCGACGGAGGAACTCCACTACACCTTCTCCATCACGCTGTACGTCTGCAAAACAAACATCTCCTGCCTCGCGCATGTGATCCTTCAGATCCTGCCAACTTCCACTTGCTGGTAAACCTGGAGGAACGAGGGGGAAAAAAAACAAAACAGACAAAGACGATTGGCTAACTGCTCTCTTTATCGTCTTAGCTAATCTGTCATTTTAAGGGAAAAAAAACATGTTAAAAATCTACAAACGCAGTCTTTAATGTCTGTATCTCTCAGTCACTAGTTTCAACAGCTGAGGTTGGACTGATTCTTGTCGAATCTTATCTGGACTAAAACAAATCCCGTGGCTTTTATCACCACGACCCACTTTTTTACTGACATGCAGTCAGAGCACGAGAACAGAGTGAACTACTGTCACTCAGTTTAGCATTTTGCCACCAGGCTGCTCTGCTCAGTGCTTCTCTAAGACTGCGGCCCATAGTTTTAGATTGACATTTTCAATGTCTTACCGTTACAAAAAGAATGTTTTTGCTTTGTGTGTTTATGTTCTCTGAATGCACTTATTTACTGCTAAATATGCAGACAAGACAACATTTACTTGGTTGAATGGAGTACATTATACACATATATACATACATATGTGTGTATATATATATATATATGCATGTGTACATATACATATATTTAAATACCTAATATTTAAATAATATATGTGCACATATATAGACATATACACATACATACATACATATATAAATATATAGCGGTAAATCATAACACTGGTATAAACATGCTTGTTAACAACATTACACATGTAAACAAAGAGAATGAGAGTGCCACCTACCAGTCGGCTTAGATGATTTTTGGGATTATGCTGGCAACATGACTGGTTGAGGTTACCGTTTTACTTTTCACAACTTAAAGGAGCTGACTTGACCTTTGCTCTGAGTCCCTTAGACTGTCAGTCCGCCACATGAGAGGGAAACATATCTGCCTAGAACTCAAAGAGGTCCTCCACTACTCCCTTGATCCTCCAATCCACCAATAGTGCCAAAGAGGAAAGTATCTGTCTAGGAATCCTTTTACTAGTCCCCGTGTCCTTGATTCCATCACGAGTGAGAAAGAGAGAAACTTAGCAGCCTAGGATTCACGGTGTCCTCAACTAGACTCCTTGTGTTCCAATCCGCCATTAGAGAAGAAAGGGAAATCATTCTGCCTACGACTTAAGAGGTCCTCTACTAGGGCTTCTTGTCCTCCAATCATCCAGGAGAGAGAAAACATACAGGCCTACTACTTGTCTTCCTCCCTACCAGCACCCTCCACTTCCATATTTACAGGCTACGCCACATGATGTCCACCTACCGGTCACTACGACGCGAAATTCAGATCTCCGAGTTGCAGGTCCAAACCTTCCTCTTGGTCCTCCTCCACCTCCACCTCCACCACCACCTGCATTTGGACCAAATTTATTTCCAGCAGATCGGGGATACTCCACACGGAGCTTGCAGTCTCCATATCCATATCCATTCCTTCCATAGACAGCGTCATCCGCATCCCTACGAGAAGAGAGCAAAGAACCCCTTACCAATTTACGAGCCTTGCATTAGCCCTAGATCTGCCGTCGCCATTTCGCTGTTCCCTGCTGGCAGTCAGGTGACTACTAGAAAAAAATATGTATTCCGAGACAGGGAATTTGATTGGACTCGCCAAAGATGTTCCCAGAAACTCACCGTGGGTCTTCAAAGCGGACGAAGGCAAAGGGAATAGTTCCTCTATTGTTCTTCAATTCAATATCGCGAATTTTTCCGTACTTGTAGAAGAGATCCTCAATGTCTCTTTCCTGGACATCCATGGGAAGATTCCCCACATAAATCCGGCCATCGGACATGGTGAGTGGTTGAGCTGCACTGCTGACACAGAATGGAGGCAACTGTGGAGATCACTTCTTGTTTTCAGAAACAGCTGGAGAAGTCGTCCTTAGCCTAATCCTAGTCCCAATCCAAAAGTCAGTCCTTCACATTGGGTTTGCTTTATTTAGACAGAGATTCAACTATAACGGATGCTGACTTCACAGTAGTTAATGATGAGCTCAAGAAAATAAGTAAAAGATGTTCAACCTGGACGTTGAAGTCTGAAAGCTTTAAAACAAATGGTAATGAAAAAAACAACAACAACCAAAAAACAAAGAAACAGAACAGTATAAAATACAGATGGATAAATCAAAATGGTTGTAAGATCTTGGTTAATATAAACAGATTTTTTCAGTGAAAACTGAAATCGCATGTGTTTTTATGAGGGTCGGTGAATGTGTTTGATTTTAGTCATTTAGTTTTAATTGGCACATGCTATTTTTTAAATTGTACTTCTCTACATCTCTTAATGGAAAATACGCTCCAATTTTGCATTTAATACGAAATAGATTAGAAGTTTATAATTTAGATGACACAAAATTGTTCTTAGATTTGGGGTTTTTGTTTAACATTACGATAACATTTGTGTGTTAGCTGAATTTAACACGAACAAAAGCAATAATTTTTGTGAAAAAAATGTCACGTCCAGTTTCCTAACAGAACTCTTCAACCTTGACCATGACCGGGATGACTGAGAATCTTCATAGACATACTCCAAAAAAAAAAAAAAAACCCGAAATATCACGTATGTTAGCTGTAGCTAGCTAATGTTAGCATTGCTAGTAGCGGTCAGGCGGTAACTGCAAGGTACTTGGTTTGAGTTACCGTAGAAATTTAATATGCAAATAAACAAGAATGTGCATGCGAAGTGCGTACAATAGGTGCTTAAATAGTGTTTGCTTACATTTTTACGTAAATACGGGACGACGCTATCAAGTGCATTCATTACGACACTAACCCGTTGCCTTTTGTTGTTGGCGTAAGGTTAGCTAGGCGTGCAAAAGGGTCGACATTTCGTACACTTTAAGATATGAAATATTAAACAACACGCTCTTGGTGAACATATTTATCAACAAATGATCCAAAATAGGAAAATACCTCTTAAGTTGGCAAATGAAGAAGCTCCCTATACAGGTTCAACGCTAGGCTATCACGAGTCGCTAGTTCCGTGAACTGTAGCAGCAGCTACAAGCAGGCGGTTCACCCTTGTTCTACTTCCGGTTACCGGCAAATACTAGTTTAATTTCCATGCTGCCCCCTATTGTATAAAAATGTAAATGTTTATATTCAGTAACGTATTATTATTACTATAATTTTGATTATTTTGTTGTTATTATTATAAACTTATACCATGATAGGACGAACGAAGATTATACGTTGATATTAAAATGGCGACCCAAAAAACAAACTGCGGGTGGCCCAACATTCTCGTCGGAACCTCCGAGCATAATTCCGAACAGTATCCAGACTCTAAATACCAAAAAAGATTTATTCCTGAAAGAGAATACTCTGCATAATTTGCTAGACTGTATGATTCAAGTATTGGTGACTTTGAACATGAACCACATCAGTTGAGAAGGATCTTAGACACTGAAAATACAGTAGCCAAATGAAGGTGCTTTTTTTACATATTTATATTGTGTCTCAAATGTGATATATTAAAGCATCCACTTTGGTTGTGATGTTTAATCACTAGTTTTATAAGAGTAAAAATAAATCAATTTTATTTTCGAATCTCTCTCTTCGAATCTCTCACTGGTCTAGTTTCATGGAGTTGGTGAGATAAGGTGGTTGGTCTTTAATGGCAGTTGTGGATGTGGTCAAGCAGTGTCCTGCAACAAACAGCCTGTAAGAGAAATAACTCTGTCCATGAACAAAAACATTATTATAATTATTATTATTATTGTTATTATTGATAAAACAATAATGTTTTTTTTTTCAAACGTTAGACATGTATGATTGTATAACTATCCAAATAAACATTTGCGCGTGATGCTGTGACGCTCCTGTGACCTCACCAGTGAGACCCCGCCCCCCAACAAGTTTGCGCTCTAAAGTGTGGCGCGCGCTCCCTACGTCTTCACATCTGAGCGTTGAGGTCGACCAGCGGTGTCAATTCTCCTTGGTGTACTCTTTAAATTAAGGATAAAAAAAACAGAAAAAAGAAAATGTCCTACGCCAGGTTTATAGCCGCTTTACTCAAATCAAAATCGGCCAATGTCGGCAAGGTTTCAAGAATTGCATCCGGAAGATGCCGGTCGACCGTGGCATCCACCAAGAGCCACTATATTGTGTATGCGCTCTCGTGTGTGTGTGTGTGTGTGTGTGTGTGTGTGTGTGTGTGTGTGCAGCACCAGGCTCATATATTGTGATTGTCTCATTGTGAAAATGCCCTACTGGGGTGGCCAGCTGTTCCTGTGCCCATAAAAAGGAGGCAGGAATGTCTGGTGGGGATGAAGGAGGCTGCAGAGACACTCTCTCAGTTTAGAGGAGCAGATGTAGGACACACACAAATACACAAACACAGCTGAAAAGACACAACAATACACACAAAAACTCACACAAAGACATTCCTATACATCTGTATGCATTCATTTACACAACTTTAGAAAAAAAAGTTCTGCATATGAACATGAGAAATACACAAAACTGCGCACACACATCAACACACACACACTGCAGCAGGAGCAGCAGCAGCAGCAGGAGCAGCAGCAGCAGGAGCAGCAGGAGCAGGTGAGAGGGCGAGCCGTGGTGGACGCGGAGCCGGTGGAACTGATCAGCCAGAGCAGGGGTGTGACGACGAAGCCGCTGAAGAAGATCCACATCGACTTCGACAACACCAAAGAAGCCTATGAGAGCAAGAGCAACGGCGAACTGCTGCGGAGTCTGCTGGTCTTCAAGCTGTGCACGATCGACCTGTTGGTGGAGAAAAACAAAGAGGTGAAAAGTTTTAGTGTCTACAGTTAAAAGTCAAAATACAGTATGTCCCACGGTTCATCTGTCGTGGTCTTCGGAAGTCTTTTTTTAATAATTATAAATATATATATGTATTTATAATTTATGAACAAGGTGGTTACATTTTTTTCCATTATTTTTTAAATATTTTTTAAATTGTTTTTACAAACTAAAATCACAAGAAAAATATAACAAAAAAAATTAATAAATAATCTCACAGTGGTTAACATATAATCAAAATGGTTGCTGTTGATTAGTCAACTTTTCGTGGTCTTTATCAGGTTGTTGTGCCTAATCTCAGTCCTGGTCGTATCTCCAACCATGACCAGTTAATGCCTGTGTGTAACCATGTAATGTCCCTGTTAGGTCAACAAGACCTAAGAAGAATAATGAACAACTATAGAACGCATGCCAACACACCACAATATATACCTCAATATATACTGTATGTGTCCCTTTTGACTCATTTCATCTCCACTTCTGTTTCGCGTCAGTTGATGGAGCTGAGCAGGAAGTTGCTGGGAAACAGGATGTTTGAGAAGCTGATGAAGATGACCTTCTACGGACAGTTTGTCGCAGGTGAAGACCAGGAGTCCATCAAACCTCTGGTCCATAAAAACCAGGCGTTTGGAGTCGGCGCCGTTTTGGACTACAGCGTTGAAGAAGACTTGACGCAAGAGGAGGCGGAGAAGAAGGAGATGGAGTGAGTGGTGTTTACGTCCCTGATGAAGTTTAGAGCTCGTCTCACATTTCCATATAAATGTGGTGTTGACCAAGTCTATGGAAAAGATACTACAGTTTCAGTACATATATATTTATAGACATATGTATGTACAGTATATATGTACATTTATATGATATGTTTTATACATTATAAATATATATCTATATATATGTAAATATATGTCTACATATATATGTAAATATATGTGTAAATATATGTCTACATATATGAGGTGGGGGAGTTTTGTTTGTCAACTGGACGTGAAATTTTCTCTAGAAAACCTTTCACCTCTCATCCAAGAGGCTTCTTCAGTTCTCTCTACATATATGTGTTATATAAGGCAGTGGGGGGGGGGGGGGGGGGGCAGCGGTGAGTTGCGCAACACGTCCGTATCATGTTTCAACACGAGGGAGTGCAGAAAAAGTTTGTGAAAAAACAATCTCATCTGCAGGGATCGGTTTCCAAAGAGTCCATTTAAACTTCAAACTTCAAACGGCCGCTCAGTCGAGAGCTGGTGCCGTAACTTTGAGGAGATAAGGATACGCTAGCAGACTCCGACAGGTTTATGTTATGTTATGACGCAACTGGTGTACAGCATTGGTTCGCTAGCTCCTTTTTGTCTGGGGTACCTCGTGGGAGTGTTAATAAGATTATACAAGGCTCTTGGACGCCATTTTCCTCAGAACTCGGAAAAAGAGAACGTCAATACTGGATGTTATACATAAAATGATTATATTTTATAAATAACATTTATAAATAAATGCCTTACTTCACTATGTAATTAAACAACAGATAAAAACAAAAAATATAAATATAGGGTATAGGAATTTCTCCACTTTGTAATTTTCCACTTTGTAAGAAATCTCTTATTGTGTTTTTGAGACTTTTTTGTCATCCTATAAAGTATAAAAACATGACATATACTATTAACAATATTAATAGTAATAACAGTAATAATACAGAATAATAAAGTGATATACAGCATTTTTTTCAAACAAGTGTCAGTGGACCCTCTGCGATGTCCTCGTGTACCATTAATGGTCCGCATCCCTCTGCTTGGATTCGACCGCAATAGATTCCCATAAACGAATTGTTTTCAACGACAACAAAGTTAGCTTATACTTGTACCAATACTTGACTGGCTCATACTACAGAGTCCTGTCGTTACTTATCAGCCAAGGTCGTCATCAAATATATAAATAATCTGAGTCAGAGTTTGTCGTGTACTCGCTTGTTTGTCAAAGACAGATGCGTCACATCACGTTGTTTTTTACTTCTTCTGGGATTTTAAAAAAGGACTATCACCGATTGGTCAGCCGGGACAAGCCCTTCTTCTCTGATTGGTTCAGCCGGTTATTCAGCAGGCAGTGCCCCGTGACAGGCTGCCAAGTCTTTGGTGTGTGGAGTTTTTAGTAACACTCTCAGACACACAGACACGGGAGGTTATGTAACGCCAGGCTGCAGGATCTGAGCTGCGTTTTAAACCGGGGAGTTTAACAAAAAAAAACACACATTTAGACCCAGTCAGTGTTAATCTGTGTGATTATAGATTATGGCTCATACAACTGAGACTTCCTGTGTGAGTCAAAGGAGTTCCTGTAATAGAACAAAACAACAAGTCCTTTTGCCAGACACGCCTCACATGAGGTGATCTGTCAATGCCTGGACGGACCAGTTGACAGTCCACACTCCTTCTGATGTCTGTAATCTTACCAAAATGTAAACAACCTATTTCAGTTATTTCAAAATGATGTGTGGTGTAATTTATTGACACTCTGTTTGAAACAGACCTCGGAGGTTATCAGCACTCACTCTGATAGTGTTAGAAAGTGTGGACAGTGGAATCGGCTTTCTTCAGCTTAGTGATTTATTGTTTGCCTCATTTCTCGTTCTAACGCTCATCTCTCCTTCCTTACTCTCTCTCTCTCTCTCTCGTTCTAACGTCATCTCTTCTTCCTTTCAGGTCGTGTGTTTCTGAGGCCGAGAAAGACGGTCCAGGTGTGTAAGTCATCATAAAAAAAAAAACCCCACATGTGATATATTAATGACACCAACTTCACTTAAACATGTCCTGAAGTGCGTGTGAAATATGAGTTTGTGCAGTTATGCTCTCTCCTGAGGCCTAGTCTGGATTGTACAGGTTATGTCTGGTTTCATTGGAGTCTAAATGTGTCCGATCCAGCTGGTACGTCGTGAGGAGAGCATGTCATGTGGCTGACACTTAGGACCAAAGTGTTTCTTCTCCCTACATGTGCTCTATTAGGTCTTATTTGCAAATAAATATATACATATAAATATAAATATATATTTGCATATATATGTGAATATATATTTACTCATATATGTAAGAATAAATGTGTAAATATACACAAATATATATATGCAAATATATTTATGTTTACATATATCTAAATATATATACACATATATGCAAATATATATTTATATGTATGTATATATGTGTTTATGTTTACATATATGTAAATATATATTTATATGTATATAAATTCACACATATATTCACAAATAAGACCTAATAGAGCACTTCTATCTAAGCACATACTCTTTAGTATTTATCATTATGCGTAAGAGTCATATATTCAAACAGAATCGTGTCTCCAGGTGCCGATCACCGTGAAAAGAAGTACAAGGCCCACCGTCAGTTTGGAGACAGGCGCGGGGGTGTCATTAGCGCCCGTACTTACTTCTACGCAGATGAGGCCAAATGTGACAACCAGATGGAGACGTTCATAAAGTGCATCAAAGCCTCAGGTAAAATGTGTTAAAAAGTGAATTAGGATGAAGTTGTTTTTCAAACTTCACATTACACTGTTATTATAATTCTTAGTTTTCCTGTGTGAATGATAGAAATGAATGTAAATTACTGTGATGTTTTTACGACGTTTATCAGGCGGAGCCTCTGTGGACGGATTTTCTGCCATCAAGTTGACCGCTCTGGGCCGACCACAGTTCCTCGTGAGTATTTTCCACGCAGTAGGTTTAATTATTGACATTGGTGGAGACAGTACTCCAAGGCAGCACTCCTAAATACCACACACCCGTGACACGCATACAAATACAAATGTTAATGACACCACGGATATTAAACCGCGTTCAGCTGACGTGACTCAGGCAGAACAAATGCCAAACATGTTGGAAACCAACACTCACAGCCGTGGACACTGTCCCCCGGTCCTGTCCAACTGGCAGGTTTCTATGGAGCTGTCATAAGTACGGCCAATCACGTGTGCATTAGCCAGCAACCAGAGCCAATTGGAGAGTGGTATTTAGGTTAGGAAGTCTTGACTTCTAGCAGAAGTCTAACAGTAAATCTTGAGTCTTTAAAGTACATATGTACATTTACATTACTCTGTACAAGTCAAAATCAACTTTATTTTCAAATACTCCATACATACAGGACATATGACACCATGAAATTTCAGTCCTTGCTGACCCACGGTGAAAAATGGCAAAAATATTAACTATAACTATAAAGACGGTAATAAATCAGCTAATTCAGTTGAGTGTGAGATAAATATATATTTGCATATATATGTAAATATATATTTGCATATATGTGAATACATATTTATTTATAAATAACATTTGCATACATACAGTATCTACTGTAAATATGTACACATACATACATATAAATATATATTTGCATATATGTGTATACATGCACACATTTATATTTACATATATGTGTAAATATATATTCACATGTATGTACATATATGATTTATTAAAATATTTATTAATATATTATTTATATTATATAAATATATATAGCAATATATAAAGCAATATGTCTATAGGGATTCACAGTCTTCACCATCAGTCAATTTTATTGGCAAAGTCACATCAACACATTTCCATCTCAATGGACTTTTTACACAGGGAACGACTGCGTTTACTGAACCTCTGACATTATATTCTCAGGTGTATATTTAGCTGCATTTTTTTGTCCTGTGTTTGAACAGCTCCAGTTTTCCGAGGTTCTGGTTCAGTGGAGACGCTTCTTCAACTTCCTGGCAGATCAACAGGGAAAATCTGAAATGTTGCTCTTGGAACAGAAACTGGAGCTGGAACAGCTGAAGGTGTGTGTGTGTGTGTGTGTGTGGATCTGGAGTCAGGGGCAGGTCCAGGCGTGTTCAGGTCTAACGGTTGTTGTCAATTTCACACACAACCGAGCACAAACATGAGCAGACTTTGTGACTTCCGAGCACAAACATGAGCAGACTTTGTGGGCTGCAGCCTACATCTGACCGTGTTGGTTCTGTTTGTTTCCTTAGTTTAACTGCTGAAATGTTTATACTTCAGGAAAGTTTGACCAAGCTCGGTGTCGGACCCAGGGATGACATTGAGAACTGGTTCACGGGAGAGAAGCTCGGCCTGTCAGGGTAAGAGGTACAACAGTCAAATACTAATACAACACACGGGTCTCTCCAGGGTTCTGCACTGACGCCTGTTTTTATCTCTCACTGACAGAACCATTGATCTGCTCGACTGGAACAGTTTGATAAACGATACGACCAGAATCTCCAACCTACTCATGATACCAAACCTGGAGGTGAGTCTGACGAGAACCAGGAGTCAGGAATTGAACTGTGTCCTGATGTGATGTGATGCCATACTCATCCAGGCCAGTAGGGGTGAAACAAAATATCAATACATTGAAATATCTCGATATTTTAGTTTTTCTTTTTACGATACCGTATCAGTTTTCTACAGCCCTGTATTGATTTTTTTTTCTCACCAATTCCCAGTCCAATATTCCTGGTGTTGGTTCATTTTCTTTTTCATTTCTTTCTTCTCTACTGAAAAAAACCCTCAATATATCACCGGGCTTATAATATCACACCGGGCTTATAGTATCACAAGATATCACAAGGTATCGCGATACGTATCGCCAAATTCTTTAATAAGGTGTTTTTAACCTCCTTAATAAATTAAATCGTGTTTTACAGTTAAAAATGTTGTGTCCAGTGCTCCCCTGAGCTGCGTCAGCTGATGTCAGTCACATGTTGATGTCTGTTGACTCAGTGGGTGTGTGGGTTCACAGACGGGCCAGCTGGAGCCTTTACTGAAGACGTTCACAGAGGAGGAGGAGAAGCAGATGAAGAGGATGCTGCAGAGGGTGGACCTTCTCGCCAACGTGAGGAAAAAAACCTGATCACGTGACCTGTGTTTTTCTCTGCATTTCAGTAGACTTACGTAAAACTCTTTGTCGCAGCACGCTTTGGAGAACGGAGTCAGGCTAATGGTGGACGCCGAGCAGACGTACTTCCAGCCGGCCATCAGTCGACTGACGCTGGAGATGCAGAGAAAGTTCAACAGAGAAAAACCGACCATTTTCAACACGTACCAGTGTTACCTGAAGGTGAGGTCGCCGTTCGCGTCGTCACAGCTAACAGGCATAACCCGTTAATTAGTGATGTCCGATAATATTAGCATAATTATGTAATATCGGTAAGAATCGTTTTCATTTTGTCCTCCGATAATGGAAACCCGATAACGCAATGCCTGGGTACGCCCAGATGATGTGACCTAAAAATAGATTTGGAGTGAAAGTGAAAGTGAAATTTGACATCGGAATCGGAAAATTAAGGGACAATATCGGGATATCGGATAAGGAAAGCAGATATCGGCAATCCCTGCTGTTGATGTGTAAATGTCCTCTCGTCATTCCAACATTTAAACCCCCTCCCAGGAAGCCTACAACAATGTCACCGTGGACATCGAGCTGTCTCGGAGAGAGGGCTGGTATTTTGGCGCCAAGCTGGTTCGCGGCGCGTACATGTACCAGGAGAGAGCCAGGGCGGAGGAGATTGGCTACGAAGACCCCATCAACCCAGACTACGAGGCCACCAACAGGATGTATCACAAGTGAGTTTTAGGAATCACTAACAGCTCCCCCTTGTGTCCCCCCCGCCCCCCCCACCAACGCCTGACCTAACCC